CCTTGGGTGCCACTTATTTTGTTTCGTTTTTGTTTCTGCTCACTGATGAGTGGAGTGCTGGCTGAGCACTGGCATTCATTAGCATATTTCTCCAGGGGATCAGGGGCTGGGTTCTGTTAACAAAGGACAAACAGTTTTATTATGCCGCATTAAAGGGTATTGCTACGCATGTGTTCCACAAATTGAATTCGCCCCACAATCCGCCATGTCCAACAAAATATTTTGGCAATGCCTCGGCTTAATGACCGCACATAAATTTCGATTGAGATTCGACACTGAAGCACGTTCGAAACATTGCCAACAGCAATTATATTGGCTGAATTCGGTTAATCGGGCTTTTATGTGCGTGATTCGTAATTGATAAAGGGTATTTAACATTAAGAAAAATGTGTGTATATTTCGAACGAGGTCGGCCCATAAATGTCGCTTAGTGTTCATTAAATCTTAAATAAATTTACTTTACTCTTGTAGTTCAACGCTGTATGTTTAATTATATTTCAATACGATTCACTGAGTCTTTAAGCGAAAATCTTTCTATTCCCTCAAAGTTTCTGTGAGATCAATAAGTAAAAGTTTTCCTATAAAGTTCGAACTTGCTTTTTGCAATCAAAAGTTTTACGCATTTTATCGTTAATGGCAGCAGCATGCATTAAACTTCTGTTCCAAGTTCTTCTTGTTAAAATTCGTATTATCTATTTAAACAGTATTGATCATTTCGTTTTTATTGATCGTTATTTAAAACTTGTACATTTTTGCCTTAAAGAGCAAAGTACTTATGTGATTTTCTCACTGGCACATTCCTTCTAAATAGAAAAAATAGGGAATGAAATGTACAAAAAAAACCCAATAAATCAACTTTTCAATGGTATCCATTTCTGCGGATTCTGTAACTTCTGTTGGCTTTTAGAGAAGCAGCTATTAAACAAATACCCGCCCTTCAAATGGTCATGCATCATAATAAATGGCCACTAACCGATGTAGTTTCCCTTTTTCCAGTTCCCAACTAAGTTGCGCGTATCAATGCCCCTTGGCGCGTATCTAATACATATACATATATATAAAAAAAAAACAGAAACAACTATCTTTATTCATTTTCATATTTTGCACATATTTTTTGGTGGATTTGCCATTTTAAGGGTCTGCGGTACAGTTGTTGCGGTTTCCACTACTTTGGCGGCTGTTTTTTGGGGCCTGCCTATTTTTAAGCGCGAACCTCATTAGTTTTAAGTGAGCGAAAGCTTAACTACTTGTTTTGAGTTTTGAATGAGGTCACTTTGCCCCGGCCGAGCCGTAGCTCATCATTTGAGTTATTTTTATTCAAGGCTGCCAGGAGAGACAGACACTACTATATGCTAGGCCCCACACAAACCTCTGTACATATGTACACAAATGCACGCCCATTTACGAGCCAGATCAGATACGGACATATAGATAGGAACAGAGTCCTGTCCCTGGTCATATCTGTTTATATCTGCTCCTGGTCTCTTCTGGTCTGGTCTGGTCTGGCCTGGTCTGGTTAGTTGAGTTGAGTTCAGTTGAGTTCAGTTCAGTTCGCTTCGCTGGACTGAGCCAGGCGCGTTATGTTTGTGGCTTAGGCAAACAGCTTCCGTTAAATGCTGCATAATTAGTTGCCATCTCCAGGTCCCACAGCCACCATCTCCTCTGCCACATTCACATTCACATCCACACCCACCGCCTCACCCACATCCACGTCACTTGGCAAGCGACAAGGGGCAAAGGTCGCACGCAATGTTTGCCTTTGCCGCTGCCTTTTGCTTGACCTACTTTGATGTGTGAAATGTCCCAAAGAATCCTGCACAAAAGCACTGAGAAGAGAACAAAAAGTGTATATAGTAAACAAGCCAGGATGGTTATCCTTTTAATAAGCGTAGCCCCCTGTGGTCCCCCTTAACTCCAGAATCACCCAGAACTAGTGCACAAATTTGAGCAAACTGCAAATCTAACTTTGATTTTATAATGCCCAAATAAGGTGTGAAAAATGGCATTATTTCACTTGCAAAGCTGTCACTTTCCGTCGGCTAAGTGCCTTCATGCGAACCACTGAAATGGCTTAAACCGGTTGTCAAGCTTTAGAAATAAGCCGGAAATTGATTTCAAAGCGGTGTGCTCCTAAAAGGTTTTGGTTTTGGTTCTTCTTTTTAAATTAATGTTTAATAAAACAAAAACACAGCATTCAGTGGTTTTAGTTCGACTTCAATTCAATTCAATTTCAATACTCAAAATAATAATAATATAATAAGAGTTATCTAGCAGGTTTGCATTTAAATTGCATATTTATTTGTTCACTATGTAATAAAGTCCTTCAGAGACTTGCATTATAATAGGGTAACAGGCATTCCATATATAAATCATTTAGCTGCCTTTTTGTTAATATTAAAGTATTACAAACATGTATATCAGTTTTGTCCTGCTTAGTTAGTCAACAAAGTAGGCTTGCCTCTGCCCACGAAAACCGAAAAGGGAAACTATTTAACTAGATCGTGGCATGCCTCGCCACCCAAAGCCCACACCTAAATCTAAATAGATGGATAGATGGAGTGGTACGAACAGGATAATACTTATGCATAAACAGGGACTGGACATGAAAAGGAAAAGAAAGAAAAACCAATTAGAATGGTTGTTTACACGCAAGCCAAGTAAGAAATATGAAAATTGTCGTCGGTAGCAGGAAGACAAGGGGGTTTGGGCCAAAGTAAAGGAAACGTTGAACAGTGAAACGAGTTTGCCATGTAAATGAATGAATGGGAGAATGAATAACTGAATGAATGAATCATTTATATGACCAGTGTGGATACACGTATGCACATGTATGTATATCACAGCTTCAGCACAAGGGAAAAGTGAGGGGGGGGGGGGGGGGCACACCCTCGTGAATTATTCATTGTCATGAATGAATCTTGTTTAATTGATAAATGCTATGACATGGGGATTAATAAAAAGCATAATGAAAAAATATCAGCCAGGTGGGACATAAATTAGCAAGTCTTGAATATGGAAATTTAACTAACTAATTTACTTGAAATTCGTATAATTAATCACGCATAACCTGGTTTGATCGCTTTTAAAATATACAATTAATATGCATTGTTTGATTATAGTTTTAATTTTCCCTATTAGCAAGTTTTTAATAGCGTTTGTTATTCAATAGAACTCACTGCGTGCAGTACAGTTTTTAATGAGCATGCATTGCATTGCATTGAATAATTTGCGTTTTTAATCACATTGGCGAAAATTGGGTGTTGATGAAATCTCCTTCTGGGCCAGTTATGTTCATTAAATTCAATTCAAAAGCCACACCAATGTCAAAAACGCGCCTCGCATGAATCACAAAAGTCAATTAATCATTTCAATAATTATCTTCCAATGAAGACAGACACATAAATAACAGGAAATTCGCTATTAATAACTCCTGAAGGGTCGTTGCTTAGCATAATCATAATCAATACATCGCGATGGCCATCAAGCGAAGCCTACATGTACATATATGTAGGAGTATATGAATACTTTGCCAAAGACTGATGGGTAGTAGAATTTTCTTGGCAACTGGCTAATTCCACTTCCCCATTTATCCACAGTGTGAGCCCGGTTTGGGCGCCAGTGTGATGTACAATCTGCTCTATAATAAGCCGCAAAAGCTGATGCTGCTGGCAGGATGCAGCACGGTCTGCACCACTGTGGCCGAGGCTGCCAAAATGTGGAATCTAATTGTGGTAAGTGAAATTTGCATAACGCCAGCACGGCATCGCTGCAATTTCGAGATACTTTACCTACTCCCACTGGCCACAGCTCTGCTATGGGGCCTCGAGTCCGGCTCTATCGGATCGCAAGCGTTTTCCCACTCTGTTCCGCACCCATCCATCGGCCACGGTGCACAATCCAACGCGCATCAAGCTGATGAAGAAGTTCGGCTGGTCACGGGTGGCCATTCTACAACAGGCCGAGGAGGTCTTTATATCGGTAGGCTCTTAAATACCTGTCAATGTTAATGGAATACACTCATGCATTTACCATACAGACCGTGGAGGATCTCGAGAATCGATGCATGGAGGCTGGCGTTGAAATCGTAACTAGACAATCATTTCTATCCGATCCAACAGACGCCGTGCGCAATTTGCGACGCCAGGATGCACGCATCATTGTGGGACTCTTCTACGTGGTGGCCGCCAGAAGGGTTCTCTGCGAAATGTACAAACAGCAGCTGTATGGGCGAGCCCATGTTTGGTTCTTCATTGGTGAGTCTAGAAATCAGTCACTAGTTAAATAGATAAGCATTTTTATTTTTTGCTCAGGCTGGTACGAAGACAACTGGTATGAGGTCAATCTGAAAGCAGAGGGCATCACCTGCACCGTTGAGCAAATGCGAATAGCTGCCGAGGGACATCTGACGACAGAAGCTCTCATGTGGAATCAGAACAATCAGACAACTATATCCGGAATGACTGCAGAGGAATTTCGGTAGGTTCTACATGATCCATTGCTAAGCCTATTGACTCAATATGCCTTTCTTCCACACAGACATCGACTGAATCAGGCGCTAATCGAAGAGGGCTACGATATCAATCACGATCGCTATCCGGAGGGCTATCAGGAGGCACCCCTTGCCTACGATGCAGTGTGGAGTGTGGCTTTGGCTTTCAACAAAACCATGGAACGCTTGACAACCGGCAAGAAATCTCTGAGGGACTTTACCTACACGGACAAGGAAATTGCCGATGAAATATACGCTGCCATGAACTCCACACAGTTTCTGGGTGTATCGGTATGTTTATAAATCTTGTTTCAAAATACTTATAATTTTACCCGCACATAATATTTATTTCAAGGGTGTGGTGGCATTCAGTTCTCAGGGCGATCGTATTGCTCTTACTCAGATCGAACAGATGATAGACGGCAAGTACGAGAAATTGGGATACTACGATACTCAGTTGGATAACCTATCCTGGTTGAATACTGAGCAGTGGATTGGTGGCAAGGTAAGCATGTCAGGCAGCTTTGAAAAATCAATCCTAAAAGCAAAATGTCGGACGATGATAAAAAGAAAAACATAGACAACAGAAAGCATGTATCTACTGAACCGGAACAGGAAACAAATCCGTCAAATGACGAAGCTAATACGGGAAGATCGTTAATCAGCTTTAGTCAGAAAGATGATCAATCCAGAGAGCCATTATCATCTGTAAGTCTTAAGCAAGGTCCTAAGATAGCAGCCAAACCGAAAAAGCCAGAGATAAGATCGTCAACTTCGCATACTGGTAAACCCACAGTACACCAGAGAAATTCAGACAATGAAAAGCCGGGCTTTTCTAAATCATTTAAAAGAGAATCTATTAGTACGAAAGCAAATAGAAACAGCGTTGCAGCAAAAGATGATCAAAAGATATTAGTCAAGACCGTACCCGGAAAATCACTTCTTAAAGATTCTGACGATGAAAATGTGGAGGCATCTAGCCGGCCAAAAAATTACACAGCAAAAAAAAAAGTGGCTGAGGGACCTTCAACGAGGCGAGTTCGCGAGCCATTTGACTCATTTGATAGGGAAAAATATCTGGCGGAATTGATCGATTATGATCGATCGTCCGAAGAAAAAAAACAAGATTCGGAACCAGACAGTACTCTTCGACGTCGTTTTCACACCAATAATGAATTTAATTCTACATCAAGTCTGGAATGGGAGGAGGAAGAGATCGATGAAGACTCTGCTGGATCTGCGACCATGCGAGGTAGCTATCGAATGACACAGAATGCCGATGACGAACGACCTGTTATCCTAGCGGAAATAATTAACATGGGCAAGTTAAAGGAGCTTAAGGACCAGCGCGATTCAAATAATGGATTCCTTAACAACCGTCGAGATGATAAAACCATTGATGAGGTGAAAGGTTCGAAGACCACAGGAACCGGCAGCCGTCACGTTGAAGAAGTTAAATATGGGGAAAACGCTGGTGATGATGATGATGACAATGCACAAGTGAAACACAGAAGCACAATCACAAAAATCTTTAGTATTGCCCAAAGAGTGGAACGGAAGAAAGACTCTAAAGAAAGTGAAAAAAACTCCAAAGAAAGTGAAAAAGACGAAAATAAAGACGATAAACCGAAACCGCCCCCAGAACCAGAAGTCCAGGAATTGGAGGCAAAGAAAACATGGGTTTTTCCGATCACAGAGACATCGCCTGATATCCCTGGAGAGGATCAGCCCCTGCAGGAAAACCGAAGGATTACAATCGGTAAAAGAAATAAAAAAATCAGAAATATCGGAATAAATACGGATATAAGCAGACAATCCAAAATCAAAACACTTCCCAGCAAGTCCGAAGGTGGTGACATAGAAGCAGACTATGCTGGTAAAGGATTGCGACATGTGGGGCAAACCACTGAAAATCGTCCAAATCAGCGAAAGAATTATAAACATAAAGTAGAACTAGACGATGTGCCCGTTGATATAGGATACAGCGATGGTCGGATAAGGGAAGTTGGAGTGAATACTAAAGTGCTACCAAAAACCAGAATTCCACCGATTGCCGAGATGATTGAGCACAAAAATGGTCAATTCAGGGACGTTGGGACCAACACAGATAAACCATTTTGGCCAATCGACGACGGAACCAATGTGATATACATGAAGCCGTTTAGAACTGATACGAAGAAAATGGATAAACAGATTGTGGATCCACCGCCGTACAGTGGACCCTACAAGATGCCAACGAAAGGTGAGAGACGATCTTACTACAAAGGCTGTGAATATCATTTTCCTGGCAGAACTGGATGGCGTCGACTTTTCTACAATAGAACCCATGGAAATTATGAATTACGCCGTCCAAGTTTCTGGATCTACACACTAGTTTTTTCCATTTTATATATTTTATTTGTCATTATTTTTTCAATGGCCTGGTTCGATTTCATCAAAGATGACGCATCTAGGAAGGCGCCCGTGATAAAGATGGCTCAACCATTTATTAGTTTCACTCCATTCGGACCACGAACAAATCCCAAGGCGGTATCATATGATCCTAGAAACAGTACGGAAATCATGGAAAAGTATGCTGGTATAATGGCTCTACTGGAAAAATATGGCGACCATGGTCAGAATCCGCGTTTCGGAACTTGTACTGCCGATGAAAAGTTTGGATATCCGAGCGGCGAACCGTGTGTTTTTCTAAAAGTTAATCGGATTATTGGATTCAAGACCGAGCCCTACATCAATTCCGATGACCTTGTCCATGCCAAGATCGACGAGGTTGAATTTACGACCCTGAAAAGGTTATTAGAAAACACCACATCGGAGGGTCGTCTAAATCGCACTTGGATCACTTGCCGGGCAGATAAAGATAAGAAGGTTTTAATTGAATTCCATCCAGAGCCGGCGATACGAACGGAGTACACCGATATTGATGAGAAAATCGAGTATGACGCGAACGAGGGTATAAGGTCATTTTTCGGCCCAAACGATCTCAACCGCATAGTAGCTCTCAAGATCAAAAAGCTAAAGGCAAACGATCGTGTTCATATAAATTGCAAAATGTGGGCACATAATATCCATCATAAGAAGGAGGGTTATGGTCAAGTTTCGTTTTTTGTGTTATTAGCTACAAACGAAAACCGTGAAAGGGTGGAAAAATTGCTCAGACACGGTGACTCATTATAAAAAATTTATATTTATGATTTTCTAATAAATTGATATTTATAACATCTATAATTTAGGTTCCTCAAGATCGCACAATTGTCACACATGTTCTACGCACTGTGTCCTTGCCATTATTTGTGTGCATGTGCACCATATCCAGTTGTGGCATATTCGTTGCCTTCGCCTTGATCATCTTTAATATATGGAATAAGCATAGAAGGTAGTTTCATTTCCGCAAGTAGTGTCCATCCAGAATTGACTTAGGTTTTATACAATTTTAGAGTAATACAATCCTCGCATCCCGTTTGCAATACGATCATGTTATTTGGTGTCATCATCTGTCTAATATCTGTCATCTTACTGGGTATCGACGGACGCTTTGTCAGCCCCGAGGAATATCCAAAGGTGGGCGTTCCTTACCCTAAAGCGTTATAATCTTTGATACCTAATATCTTGATTTCTTATCCATATTATCCTTATCCAACAGATATGCCAAGCGCGGGCTTGGTTACTATCCACCGGTTTTACACTAGCATACGGTGCTATGTTCAGCAAGGTCTGGCGTGTGCATCGATTTACAACAAAAGCAAAAACTGACCCAAAGGTGGGCTTAGATGAAAAAAATAATAACAATTTTATTCAGTTGCTAATCACCTGTGTAATTGCAGAAAAAAGTGGAACCTTGGAAGCTATACACCATGGTTTCGGGGCTCTTATCAATAGATTTAGTGATATTACTCTCATGGCAGATCTTTGATCCGCTTCAGCGTTATCTCGAAACATTCCCACTCGAAGATCCAGTATCTACTACTGATGATATTAAAATACGTCCAGAGCTTGAGCATTGTGAAAGTCAACGCAACTCCATGTGGTTGGGTATGTGGCCGCAATAGAACTAATACTAAAATATATTATATTATTGTATTACTTACCAGGTCTTGTATACGGCTTCAAGGGGCTAATTCTGGTGTTTGGTCTGTTTTTGGCCTACGAGACGCGTTCCATTAAAGTGAAACAGATCAACGATTCGCGTTATGTGGGCATGAGCATCTACAACGTGGTGGTCCTCTGCCTGATAACAGCTCCGGTGGGCATGGTCATTGCATCGCAACAGGACGCGTCCTTCGCCTTCGTTGCTCTAGCTGTGATATTCTGTTGTTTCCTAAGCATGCTGCTGATATTTGTGCCAAAGGTCAGCCACAACCACTAGCTTAACGTAGTCGCACATTCGTAACGCTCTCTATTCGCATAGGTCATTGAGGTTATACGTCATCCCAAGGATAAGGCCGAATCGAAATACAATCCCGATTCAGCCATATCGAAGGAGGATGAAGAACGCTATCAGAAACTTGTTACAGAGAACGAGGAATTGCAACGATTAATAACACAGGTATGTTAAATCATGGTTGATTATCTCTATGAAATGTACTTTTTTTTTTTATAAAACGAACAAATATTGAACGATTCCAAAATATAAGATTATACACTTCTTTAAACGTTAATCTAGAAGAATTTCGGTCTTATCATCATCTGAACAAAAGTTAAAGAGTGGAATTTCCAGCGACCCCAGTGAATTCCATTCAGAATGACGGTTTCCCCTTCTCTGAAATAAAGTCCATTTAGCGAGCTGTAATATGAAGTAATATGAATTATAAAGTAGAAACTTCTCACAAATCCAATTTTAATTTCATATCTTTACCTTGAAAAACACGAGTGAAACCACCAACCACCGCCATGGTCGGCTGCACAATTTCTACTAGACTCGTCATTATCACGATCAAAAGTGGAAAACCTTTTATCTATGTGGTATTTGAGGGAGTCGCCAGCTGTTCCAGAATATTGTCCCACCCGCTCCAGTTTATACAAATCATTTTCACTGCCCACTTGAAAGTCATCAAAGTGAGCATATACTGTAGTGCCAGTACCATGCTTCAATTGAATGAAAAGTTCGTGTGGCTGTTCCTTAGTCATCAGATGAAGTTTATGGAGACCGATAAAAAATTCTCCATTCGGATTGCCAAATCCATGTTTGTAATTAATCCACGATTGGTTGAAATTAACACTTCCATCAAGTCGTCTCTGAATGACAATCCAATCTCTTGTGGTCGTCTTGCACTGGGTCACTTGAAAAGGTTCTTCACCTGGCAGCTTCAGCTGGTCAATTCCATTTGGGCTGCCACTGGGACAGGTGTGTGTTGAACTCTGACCAATTTTGAAGTGCAAAATCCATAAAAGAAACACAACAATGAACGCTTTCATTTCGCCTAGCATGCGTACTGATACCTGTTCGCTGGTTTACTGATATATATTTAGACATATCTGCTATATAAATGGGCACTTCAAGACACAGTTTCGTGGTTTTAAATAGAAACTCAATTTACAACCTTTGACCGCATTGCTTGATATACATTTATTCCATTTAGGTCGTCATTTGAGCAAGTGTATTCCCAAATAGTGGATAGACACTTTATTTAGAATTCATTTTGTTTCTTTTTTTTTTTTTGTTTAATACGTATTGATTTAAGAACTTCCATATCTAAACCTTGAGTTCTGGTCGAACCTCCAATAAATGCGGTGTTTCCCCTTGCAGAAGGAGGAAAAGATACGAGTCCTGCGACAGCGGCTGGTGGAGCGGGGCGACGCCAAGGGCACAGAACTGAATGGTGCAACAGGTGCCGCCTCCGCCGCCGCCGCCGTTGCAACAACTTCGCAGCCCGCCTCCCTCATCAACTCATCCGCACATGCCACGCCCGCAGCCACACTCGCAATCACACAAGGTGAGTACATGGTGAAAGTATTCAAAGTATTCAAATGCCCCTTAGCCAAGTTGCATGTGGTGCTCGACGCTAGTGTCGTTGGTTTAGCTTGAGGTTCTTAATCGTTATGTTCTCGATTTTAACTAGAAATCTTAGCTCTATTCGTGGGCATTGACACAATTGATTAGGAACAACAAATGCATGGAGTTCAAAGGTTATTTGCTTATGTTAACGCTACGTAAACTCTATTCTCGCACTTCAACAAATGTTTTTTGTTTTGTAAACTTAAATGCAAACAATGCCAACTTATCAGTTTCGTGTATGTCTATAGCTTTTCTACATTTGTACTTCAGCACTTTTGTCTTGCTTATTTATATCTGCAGCACAACTGCACTATTTAAAAAGTAAACCTCACATTTTTTACATTCTAGCAAGATGATACAAATCACAGTTTTGAAAATTTTACACATCGTAACATGAAATACATCGTGAAATATATTATTAATTCTTTATATATTTATTTTGCAGATACTCATGAGCATCGTACATGAAAAAACTTGTCAATTTCCTTTGCGTGATAGGTGAATTATACAAAAGATATGAAATGCAAATAAGGATGCTAACGGAAGATGGATTAAAACAAACACGTACTTAAAGAACTTTGTATCAACTTTAAGCTGAGCTAAATAAGTGAATTGGTAGCAGCAATTTTGTAGAATAATGAAATATGTATTGTACCTTAAACGTGTTTAGCATTAATATTGAAAACGAAGTAATTTTAACTTTAAAGAAAACAAAAAATCGACATTAGCATCTAAACTAAGCGAATTGTTAGGCTTTAAAGTTGCAACTCAGAAACCAAAAATTCTAGCAAGTCAAGAAAAAGTTCTGTAAAAAAAGATCGTGTTAAAGTTAGTAATTTTTAAATGCAGAAAGGAAAGACAAATTGTTGTTTATTTGTTTTATTTTAGTAAATACTGTTCTTGGGTTAGACGAATTATCTTTTTGAACCTCATTTGCTCAGCGCTGTCTCCTAGAGCTCTCTACACTTAATTATAATTATAATAAATCTGCATAGATGAAAACTCCCCCAAAGGCGGCCTTCTCCTGATTCTTAGTTTTCATTTACGTGTCTTTTTCTAAACCAGGTCGCGGCAATACAAACCAAACTCCTAGACTCCGGGAATCAAACCATGGAACACTGTCCTTCTCGACAGGATAATCGGTTTGGTTCCCAATATGTTAGCTAAGTTAGCTTTAGGCACTTTAAATAGATCCATGTGTGTGTATGTGAGGTGTAAATGTGCACTCGATAAAAGTTTTAATAGTTTACATTTCAGCAAATCGTAAAAAAGCACAAATCGAATGAGAAGTCTAGCAAATATTAGATAATGAAAGGATATGTATACATTTAGCTTAGACTAGTGTAGCATCAAAAGTTAATATATTATATTATGGATGGGTTGAGTGCTCAAGAAACGTTTTAATTTTTATGTACTGTTATACATAGACAAATTAAATGGTAATGAGAAATTTTTGAACCTACTGTAAGTTCTAAAATCGCATTTATAAAGTATATATATTATACACTGAAATCGAGGAGAGACCGAGCATAATTGAGGACGTCGTTATATAGGAATTGACTTTATTTAAACTAAAACTAAACTGAACCCTATTGACAAATGATTAACTTACTCACTTGCATAACATACTATCACTCACTCGCCCCTCAACGAAATCGAATCTTTTCAACTCAACTCAATTCAATTCAAACTCACTCACATCCAAGTAAAACGGAATTATAAAAAAATCCATCACAAAAAGTGCTATAAGAAACATACATAGACAACATCAAATTCCTACGAAATGAAAGACTTTAAAATCTAAGCCGTTAAAAAAAGGGAAAACCAAGCAAAAGAAATGAATACTATACACACGATAAACAATGATTATATATAAATATTGAAATATATATATATGAAATTTACACATGGCAAAGAACATCTCTAGTACATTGATATTTGTTAAGAGTCGTTGGAATTTGTAGTTTAATTGGATTGTATTTCATACACATATAGGGAACGCTGTTAGGGTAGACGTGTAACTCGAGATCATGTATATTGTATATAGAGCATTTAGCTGCGCCTCCTAAACACACAGAAACATAGAACAGCCACAACGGCAATCAAATCTACAAATGCAACAAGTAATCGACTTTTAATTTTGAATCCGAATCAATTATTTGCTTTTGTCCTCAAATCACAGCCGAAAGAAGAACTTCTAGCAAAGTAAGACACAGTTTAGCCAAGCTAATTGTTGTATAAATACGAGTAAATAGAAAAAGCAAAGGTTAAATAAAACCAGAATTATTTCAATGGAAACACACAAGAAAGTGAAATTCTACTGTTAGTGACAAAATAAATATGAACCACGACAAATGGTAGCAATATGCAGGAAAAACAAATGGTCAAAGTAATGAAAAACTCGGTATGTTCTTATGAATGTAACACTAACGAATTAATTTAAAGTTTAATAAAACGGAATAAATGAGAATTTTACTGAATAAAAAATACAAAACAGAATTGAACAAATATATTACTTTTATTTATCGGGTTGGATTCTTAATGTTTACTAAATAATTCCCCATTTTCAGGCAAAATGTTTTCATATCTACTATAAATACAAATTGGCCATCTGAGTCTCAATTTGTTTTAATTTTGGGCTTAAACAATTGAAGTGCCTTTAAGGAAGTTAAATATTCTTCGGCTTAAATTAAAGGTAACATTTTTAAATTTCAAGTTCATTTGCTTTTAAAATTTCAGACTCAATTAGCATCGTCCACAAATTTGTCTCTTGAAATGCAAATCGTTCTTAAAGCAAACATTTACTTCGCACTGCATTATAAATGAGGGAATCAATAACCTTTATTCACAAATCAGAGTTTGAATTGTTTATGCAATTTAGTAATATTTTAATGAAAAATTCTTAAGATTTCTTTAAATATGTGCATTTATAAAAAAATTCACTGCTAATTTATATCCAAACATTTTTCTTAATTCGTTTTCATATAAAAAAAGCAACAATTGACCCATTAGTTACCAACTGAAAATGAGGTTCACTGTTCGATTGATTATATTCGAGGTGGGCTTAAGAGGCGAGTAAAAAGGTATTTTTAAAGTATTACCAAGTAAATTCCAGATCTTCCTTCCGGTTATGTTGCTAATTTTAAGTCCCAGCGCATCCAATCCAGCAATATCCAATAACGTGCAGCTGGGTATTTCGTATAACAGATTATAACACCACGGAATCCGATCTCTGAGTTCTGAGCTTAAAGCTTAGCTTGTTGTGGATCCAAGCCAGCATATTAAGCCCGACTCCGGTCTAAGCTCTTGCAGTTAGCGCACTCAACTCGAACTGAACGGAGGTCCCAAAAAAAGAAACGAGCAAACCAAAAAAGAAAAACGATCTATTGCAAACCACAGCTCCACAATGAACCCACTAGGAATGGTGAGTCTGGGCCTAATGCTGTGCCTCATCGGCGGTTTTGGCCGGATTGCATCGGCCAAGCTGGAGGAGAAGTTCTCGTGGAAACAGCTGGCCTTCGATTGGCCAACTCCGGAGGCCGAGGCGGAGGCCAAGTCGAATGGCCACTACATCGAGGAGAACAACCTGCCGCTGGGCGTGGAGCGTTGGCAAAACAGAATCTTTGTCACTGTGCCAAGGTAAGTTTCCAAATTCATAACCGAAAGAGACAACAAATTTACGATAACGTGTAGTTAAATTTTCCTTTTTTTCTTAATATTTACCTTTTTTTTGGTTGGCTTGGTTTGTAATTAAATGTCAAGCTAGACTTGCAAAATCATCGAGCGTCAAGAGTGGAAACCGGTTTTCTTGCTGGCTAGTTAACTTTATAATTTTTTTTCTTTTTTGTATGATCATTTTGCATTTTAAATTGTAGTTTCTAAATGCAAATCGTAACGTGAATTAATTATAAATTATTAAGAGTAAGCACCTGATCGGAAAATTCTATGGAATATTACAGTTCCAATTAAACGCTAACTAGATAACTAGTAAACAAAATCATTGTGACGTCACCCTGCTGGGTTTTATTGACTAAAAAGCCCCGAAAACCATTCGATTTTTGAAGCTATGAGTAACCAAAACAGGATTCAGTTTGCTTTTTACATTAATGAAACAATATTTTAATTAACAACATATTATAGTAGACAATATCCGATTAGTCATTATAATATTGCGAAAGTACTTGGCATTTTGTTATTTTATTAGTTATTCCTATGAAAATAATTTTAAAAAAATGTCTAAAATTTAAATTTCTGGCTTGAAAGTTTAATTTTCATATCCTCTCTATTAAATGATTTACTTTCTATTTAGATGGAAGGCTGGTGTGGCTGCCACTCTCAACTACATCGATATCAACTCGACCGAGAAGTCGCCAAAGCTGCACCCGTATCCCAGTTGGGAGGCCAACAAGCTGCCCATCGAGGTGCAGCCACAGGACCAAAAGACACCATCCGGTGGACGTCTGGATGCCGATAAGGCCCAAGATGCCGGCATTCAGCTGAAGGACAACTCGACTATCATATCCACCTTCCGAATCCAAGT